AAAGCCTGCGCTGCGCAAACACCTCCAGCCTGCACAGAATTTGCCCCATTGTGGCATTTCGTCGAACAGCTTGGGAGGGTCAACTTGCAGGGCTCTAATGGAGGATTTCAGAGGTTGCAGGGGTCAATTGACCACCCTTGCTCTTGTATATTATACATATATTTTATATATATTGTTGGAATTTTTGTGAGTATTTCAAAATACAAAATTAATTTATCTAATTTATATTACAAACTGCTTTCATATTGGTTTTGAATAAATTGGACATTAGTTTGTTGTCGATTTTGATATCTCCTTTGTGGTTTTAATTGGGTTATTTCCGTTAACTTTTTGTATCAATTTATTTTATCATTTAAATAAGTTAAATGACTTTGGTTTTACAATATTCGTTAAAGGTTTTGATTCCAAAGATTTACTGCATGAGTTAATTGCTTAGTTGGGATCAGATTTTACTATTTGAGCAATAGCCTTCAGTTTTGTTCTTAACGTGCAAATGTGGTTTAATTGCTTGGTTAATAACCCAACATTCACTGGAGTCAGTAAGCTTATATATACACCAAAAAGAAAAACGTTGGTGAGAGATTTTTGACACCTTTCTTCATTATTTTCTCCTCCACATTCTTGAGTTTGTGTTCCAATTTGTTTTCTTTTATTAAGGGAAAGATTTAAGTTGTTCATCCGATCCAAGTATTGCGAGTGTACGCTTATGAGGGTCATAGGTTGTTGTATCTTGGAGGGTAGGCCGCCATACAACCTTGCTACACCGAGACATTGTCTTCGAGGGGCGAAATCTACTCTTAAGGACAATGACTATACGCCTCAACCTAAAATAATTATTTTACTCGAGTATCAATGAAGACCAACTTCTACATTCCAAAAGATAAGTATTTTATAGTACTTCTATTAATTTAATTTAATTTACTATATCAATGTAGATTACAATTTTCTATATAATGTTTTGCAGGAAAAGTAGCATCCATAAACCAAATTTTCCAATATATATATAGAAATGATTATTTGTATGCCTGACCTGATCTCTGCATCAGGCCAGGACTTGCTTATAACTATGCAACTGGTTAAAATAAAAGTAGTGCACAGTAGAATGAGATACTCTGCTCTGATCTTTCACTGTTGATTTAGAAATCATACTTGTTTGGTACTGAAAACTTTGGAGATTGACTGAATAATGGGGTTGGATGGAGTGTTGGAGCGGTGGTGCTGGGAGAAATTACAAGTGCCATAACCCAGAAGTGGTACAATACTACCATAATTTTCTTCATCCTGGGCCCACTTCACATCATTTGCAAACCTAATCTTACTGTTAATAAAAATGTTTCAGGAACTCATAATAACACAACAGACAGACTGTGGTACATGTATATACTTAAACTTTCGTAGCTAGAATAGGTTAGATATATTTGCTGCTGTAAGAACACGTAAGTCATTTTGATCAGAGTTTTGGTTGAGGAAGTACATCAATATGAACCACTGGGTAACATAAAGATGCATGCTTATTTAATGTTGAGACAACCTATCTTATTAAATATACGCGACCTTTTTATTTGGATGTTAGAACCCGACAGAAAACTCTAGATTTATAGCATGGTGATGGAGTGGTGTACGCATATACCATCTTTAAACTTAGGACATTATGCACAGGAAATGGAGATGGCAAACTTATGAAGGGAATTAAGGAACTGGTCTGCTAAATGGTACCTCCTGTCCTTTCAGACAGGCAACGTGGGACACTGCTTCATTTTTTGTTTTTGGTTATTCATTAGATCTTGCTTCTTTGTCCTTCTGCTTTAAATCCATTGATGAAGGACTGATATTCCTCAACAACAGGGTCTCTTCATAACCGCTATATCTCATTCGCTTATTTATGTCTCATTGTAAGGGGCTGGTTTGGAACCAACTAATTCTATCCCCTTATAGTTAGTATGTGAAGGGAAATGGTTAGGCCAAGGAATTAATAATAATTATTGTTTTTTTTTTCTTTTCAAACAAAGGTCCTAAATTATCCATGTTTTATTTAGGACCAGCAAAGAAGAAGTGTAGAGATGCTAGGGTTTGATGGCTTAACCCAGAAGAACCAGTTTAAAATGCACATATTGGATTATAAATGCAGCTGAATTATTAATAGAACGCATAAGTCTTTCTTCCATTTACTCTCCGACCCAACGAAATGAATTGCAGGTTTTTTCTTTCTCTTTTTCTTTTTTCTTTTTTCCCTTTTCCTTTTGTTTCTTTCCCTGAATAATGGATTGCACATTCAATTCCATACATGATTAGCTAAAAAGCTGACATTATCATAAATGATGGGCCATTATATTTATAATTTGGCTATGAATTACAACCGGAATTCGTTTTCTTATTATTAGATAACACAATTGAATTGATAGCTGGTTTATATTATTCTAATTTAATTAAATCCAATTCTATAAGCAAGTTAGAATGCTTTTATCCCCGGAATCACATCCAGCTAAGGAAGCTATTGTCATGTAATAGCATTTGGTAGTCTATCAATCTAATTCAAGCAACTTGGAATGTGCTCTACCCGTTGGGATATTCGAACTCGTGTGTAAAGAGGGATCTCATTGTCTTGATCAACTGGCCAAACCCACGTCTACACAACCGAATTTAATTAGTTCATATATATGTCACAACTTACAATACTTTAAATCAAATTAATAATCATATTCAAAACATGCATTTGCATATGCATGCAAGGTCTTTAAAAGAAAAGAAGAATGCATTAGTGAATCCTTTTTAATTAATCAAAAAGTTAAATTAACCAACATGATATCATAAGGGTACGTAACAAAAGAACTTACCTGAATATTGATGTCTCCAGCTAGACGTGGGACACGAATTTTAACTTGTTGAACTGCATGGGTGTTAAGAGTCATCAATCATCACAACGGCTCTAACCCATGTATTTGACAGCTATAAATAGTAAGGAAATGTTCCCAGCCTGGGTCGTAACCAAAATTGCCGGAAGTAGCCTACTGTTGCTATTACTCCATAGCCTCTAGCTAGTCCTCATCTCCTCATTCGAAAACTGTGTTTAGCCTTCAACTCTTTGAAGCTCAAACAACTACTCCTTCACACTCATTGCCTTTCTTTTTGTCTTTTTCTTTTTTCCAATAATTAACATAACATTAATTATTAGGGTAGATTTGTGTATCGATCGAAATGGGAAAGTCTACTTGCATTGCTGCAGCATCGGGCATAAAGAGAGGTCCATGGACTCCTGAAGAAGACAGAAAGCTCTTAGCTTTCATTCAACTGCATGGCCATGGAAGCTGGAGCTCCTTGCCCCAAAAAGCTGGTACTTACTATTTTCTATTGCATTATATATATTGTATTGGTTTTGGACACACAATATACTGAACTTGGTCTGTTTTTATAGGTTTGAAAAGATACGGGAAGAGCTGTAGGCTAAGGTGGAGAAACTACCTAAGGCCTGATATTAAGAGGGGAAATTTCAGTTTGCACGAAGACCAAACCATCATTCAACTCCATGCACTTCTAGGCAACAGGTTAATACATATCTAATTATTTTATTAATGTTTTGTGAACTTGCAAGCTGAATGTTTAGGTGCATGCATGCTTCATATGTTTAATAATATCATAGGACTAATTAGTCTAAGACGTGTGCCCACATCTTGCACCCGAGTTCGATTCCACTCCTCATTTATAATATCAATTTGTAATAATAAAACTTTGTGAGCTAATGATTCTGGACAAATTATAGGTGGTCGGCTATAGCTGCGCACTTACCAAAGAGGACAGACAATGAGATCAAGAATTACTGGAACACACATCTCAAGAAACGACTGGCCAAGATAGGGTTTGACCCTGTCACCCACAAGCCCAAGACTGCCATTCTTGGCTCTGCCAATGGTGACCCCAAGAAGTTGTCAAATCTCAGCCACATTGCTCAGTGGGAAAGTGCCAGGGTCCAAGCAGAAGCCAGGTTATCCAAAGAGTCCAAACTACACAAATCATCAGCTCACCAGCTACCTCACGATCCAACGGCGGCGTCGCTTATTCATGATCATCTTCACCATCAGTTTGCACCACTCGTTCCACAATGCCTTGACATTCTAAGGGCATCAGCTTGGGAAAGCCTGATATCAATGTCGACAAAGTCATCAAGCTCAGCTGCTGATGCACCAATCAATCACATCAACGGCCTAGATCACGTTTCCTTTGGTTATCATCATGATGTTCACGAGCGTGGCGTTAATATCATAAGTAATTTTGAGGGTCCAACATTGGATCATCAGTTCTCAAGCATGATGGAATGTGATGATTCACGGGCCATGTTATCAATGACGACTGGGTCGCTGGGTTTGAATGAGCTTATAGGCCAATATTGTGGGAACGAATGCAGTGAATTATTCGAGGCATTCCAGCAATATATGGGGTTTGAAGTTGAGGTCGGGGATGCTTGGACTAGTTTGGAACAATTATTGTGATATATAATGACGGATATCAAATCATGACATTGACAGGCATTTCATGATGAAAATGCGATCGAGCTGGAGAGAGAGGTCAACAAACGTACGTACGTATATATCTATCTATCTATGGTAGTTCTGATGAATGAATCTCCACCACCTGCATAAAATAATATAACTACCTAGCAGAGTAGGTGGTGGTTTAATTGGGGTTTATGAAGTATTATGTAATTACTGAATTGTGGACCGTCAAAACTAATCATGTAAAAGTTTGCTCTCCACTTTAATTTCCAATTGTTGTGTTTGTTTTATTCTTGTTTAATTAGTACATTATATATCATTATCATCAATAGTCACATAATGATCGAGATAGACTTGTATAACGAGTCACTCTTATTTTCTCGCCTGGTACCCAACCAATAAATAAAATCAGAGAATGGAAAATGAGAAATAACCCATATATAAGTTAACTCATAAAAAAACAAGGGCACAAAATGATATATGTATATTTCTATTATTATCTGAAATCATGCACGTATTTTACACTGCTCCTGGAGAAGGATGACAATCAAATCAAGGATTGTATGTAATAATGTTGTCGTACGTCCCCAGATACATATGGACCATATGGCTGTGACATCTGCATTGAGTAACCAACCTACCAATTCCCCGTTCAAGTTGAGTATACGTTGAGCATTAATTCAACATTATGTATGCGCCGACATGCACTGAAATAGTAAACTGCCTTATTTATTTAATCAAGATTTGCCTTAGCTTAGCCGAAAAGGTATCTATAATGGCAGCCCCCGTCTATAAAACCAAAAAAATGAATAAATAAAAAAATCATATCTTGACAATAAAAGAAAATCAAATAAAAAACCAACAAAAAAGAAAAAGAAAAATCAAGTTTAGAGGAGTAGAAATTAGGATAAAGGGAGAGAGAGAGAGTTTAATTTTAATTTTATAGTTTTTTTTATTTATATTTTAATCAATTTAATACAAAAATACCATTTTACCCCATGCATTTAACATAATAGTTAATAAAATTGACGGTATGACCATTCGTGCTAACAAAACTGAAGTTAAAGGACCACGGGAACGATTTTGAAAATTGAGGGACTCAAATGCAAATCGAGTCTAAATTCAGGGACCAATAAAACAATTAACCCAGCCTTTGGTATTGTGTTTTTTTTGGGTTACATTGGAGGAAAGAAACCCTTTGGCCCCTTTTAGTTCACGGAACGGATTTTAGGGGAAATCACTTCCCATGTCATTTCCCAATGGATGGGAAATGAAAGATTTATTTCCCACATTTGGTATTGTTGGGAAAGTAATCGGGAGATTTCACTTTGTTTCATTTCTCATGTTTGTTTTGAGTAGGAATGAAAAACAAAGTTTGTAAAATTTTCAATTATACCCATATTAAATCAAATAAAAAAAGAATGCATTTAATGATACATTGTAATTCTAAATTGTTCATGTGGACAAAATGGTCATGAAAAATGTGCATTGAATGTTGGCTGATTTTCCCAAACTTTTCCATGAGGAAGGAAAACAAAACCCAAGTTCAGTGGAGGGCTTCACTTTCCCCTATACTTTCCCATGTGCCAGACAACTATTTCCTATGCCTAGACTTACCAAACATGGGAAAACAATTGATTTCCCATTCCCAAGCCTCCTTTTCCATGAACCAAACGGGGTCTTTGGGGTTTCAAACTTAGGTGCCATGGGGGAGTGGAAATCCACCACCCCTATATGATGGGAACCCATTAGCCTTTAGGTATTGATTTGTATACGTAGGAAGTAGTTCTGTTTATAAATAGTTTTTTTTCTTCAAAGAAGCACGTAGAAGTTCTTATTGAAAAGTACTTGCAAGTGCTTTTTGGTTCTTCTTCAGAAACCGTTTTTATAGCTCATAAGCACTTATAAGGTTTATTTTTTGTCAAACTCAAACGCGGTAAAAATCACTTTTTAGCCATTTCAGAAGCAATCTCAACGAAACCCTAAATGAACACTGGGCAAATCATGAATTAAACTTAGACAATAGTTTTGGGCCGAAACTGTCCCGTCGATGGTGAAGTGTGCGTAAATTGCTTTCTTAAGCTCATTTGATGGTTGGGTATAGAATGACTCTAGACATCAAAGTACATTGACCCATCTGGGAACATTTGGGCTCTCTTCATAAAACCCAAATCTTAGCGTGTATTACAAACATTCCAAGCGTATGCTTCAAGCCCATCTCCATTGACTTTCCCACAAAAGATCCACTCACCATGTTACACGTGTCACATTTCTTTAAAGCCGATCGAGCCAATGAGCGAGTCTAGTGTAGGAAACAGTATTAGCTCCCAAGTCTAGCGAGTCTAGTGTTGTTGCCGTTGTCACTCTCTCCTGTCACTTGCGCCAATACTTTCAGTAACATTGGGCTCAACGCCTCCGCCCACCCCCCAAAAGCGACTCTTGCACTCGCTCGCAGACGGCAGACTCATCGTCATTCCTCTCTTCTCTGCGGCGAGAAATTATTCGCTGCGGTTGAGTACCATGGCAACGCCTGCGCCTCCGGTCCCGACGAGCTCGTCAATGGCGTCCACGTTAAGAGCCTACTCGCTGCCTCTGATTCTCTTTGCTGCCGCCATGTTCTTCCAGCTCTTAGTCATTCCCAAATCCTTCCCCCCTTCTAATTACGACAGTAACTCTCTCTCTCTCTCTCTCTCTCTCTCTCATATATGTATGGGTGAGTGTGTTAATGTATTTGGTTTTCAAACGATTGCTTTGTTTGTTGAATTGTTGTAGTTCTTGGTGTAAGGATGTATAGCTCAATTGAGGAAGTGAGAGAGGCCTACGATAATATTACTTCCGCCTGGTAAATTTTCTTTTTCTTTCCTTGTCTACTTTGATCGACATGTCGTTTTAGTGATCGGAATCACACAATTCGTTAGTTTTGACAATTTCCGGAAGAAGAAGACTCTGTATATCAAAGTTTTTTGAAACACTCAATGTAAGCACTCTGTAACCTTTCAAATATATGGCATATGCTGTTCTTACATAGCTGTGACATGTCGTTATTTTCAGGAACTCAGGCGAGCGAGCTCCTGATACCCTTGATTTTATCAAGGTCAGTGAATTTTTGGTTTGTCGTCTGAACGTAATTTTTTAGTTACATGTAGATGAAAGAATTTGTTTAGCTTAATTGCGGTCAAATGAAGAAAGAACGGTTGAATTTGGCATTTTGAAAAACTTGATGATAAGAAAATGATATATGTGAAGAAGGGGTTATAAAACAAGGACACAACAACTATTATTTATTTATTTTAAAAAATATGCTTAAAATATTCAAAAGAGACTTGTAGCTTTCTTGGTCAGTAATTGGGCTTGCTTTCTGTTATTTAGTTAATACTATTTCTCTAAGCATGGGATTGGGATATGAATTGCAGATTCAATATGCTTATGAGTTGCTGACGAATCCGTTGTGGAAGAGAAACTATGACATATTTGGCATTGATGAGCAAATAGTGAGTTCTTGCTCCCATTCCAAGACTTGAAGCTTTAAATGTCCAGTTTGTAGTGCTCTCCTTGTTCTTTTTCTGTAACCTTTGCTGGGTGTTACACTGTTTTATTAATTTCCCTATTTTGACGGCAGGATGTAATTGAGAAGGTCAAAGAGCAATATTCCGGAGAAAGCTTTTCAAAGATAGAACTTCCTTTACTTGACTCTGTTTCTTCAGGTTGGAACTTAATTGTGTTAAAATTGCAATTACTTTATTGTTTTACTGTTTGAATTATTATTAAAAGAGTTTGTTGCAGAGTTTCCATTGTTTCTAGGCTGATGAATTTCTTTTATTAGATATTCAAGATCATGATCTTACAGTCATTACCTCCAAGGATTTCCAGACCATGTTTCAGGGTAACATGCCAGCGCTAATTCAGGTAAAATCACTTTATAGGTCATGCTGCATGTCATGACAAATTTAACCAGCTTAAGCTTTTATCTTTTCCTTGATTTCCCTCCCCTTCCACCAATGGTTTACTTAATAGAGCTATTTTCCTCTTTTTCCACCCTTCCGTAAGTAATATGCAAACATAACATAAAGACATATTTTGATAGAAATTTCTATAAACATAACCAGAATGTGCATATCTTGTGCTTTCATATTCGGTATGGAGTTTTGAGGCTGTTTCGGATTAAACCTTATGTTTTCATTTTTACAAAACTTCTTGTTAGACCCGTTATATATGTACTGACTATTAATTCATGTTTGTTGTGATTTTGACCAGTTGTGCTCATTTGGAAGCAAAAGCTGTGATAAATTTTCTGATGCGTGGAAAAAAATTGGTATGTTTTCATTTTGGAGCACCTGATTTAAGATTCTTTATCTGAAATGGTTTCTTGACAAGTTTAGATTGTGGCTAATCCTTGCACTCGATTGAGTGAAGCCTTGTTTTTTTTCCACTTACTACCACTTATCACTTGGTTTGTTGGTTTTGATTACACAAGTCCTTTAACCATTTAGTTTCATTGGGGCATATTGTTTCTATTCTAAATTGTATAGCATGATTGCTTGTTTGAAGGTTGTTTTTTCTTTCTAATAAATAAATTTACATATATTCCAAGCATTGTTGTAGTTACAAGTTTACAACCCATTCTTTTGCCTCGTTAAATTTCAAAGTTTAACTCAATATACTTTTATGAACTAATTTCTCTCTCTCTCTCTCTCTCTCTCTCCCTCTCCATTTTGTTTCCTTATGTTCTATATCCAGCTGCTCTGTTGGGTGGTGTGGCAAATACTGGTCTTTTGGAACTTGGGGAGCTTCAGCTAGCAACACATCTTGCTGAGAGAAAACCAACTGGACAACCTTTCTTCAGGAATGGTAAGTGGTTTTCCAAATGATCAATTTTGCATTCTGTTGTACAAAGTAGTAGTTGTTTGTGCACTTTAATACAGATGTTTTTGTACTTTTCTTCTGCTTCATAATTGATACGGTTCCTATCCATGATCATCATTACTACTACACCAATT